TGAGCAGGGAGCCCGATGCGGGACTCGATCCCGGGACTCCAGGATCATGACCTGAGCTGAAGGCAGTCGCTTAACCAACTGAGCCACCCAGCGCCCCTCATGGAAGTTTTTTTAAAAACACTCTTTGTGCAGATGTTTTCTGTTTTGTGCCAAGACCTTATGTTTCTACATCAGCATTCTCCTTTGATCCTACGTTGGTAGGACTATGCCAAAAGGAATCTACTCCCTCCTAGGTACTCAAAGGACGTTCAGGACCTGCTGGTTCAGAATGTTTTCCTCACCGGTGGAAACATGATGTACCCTGGGATGAAAGGTAGAATCGAGAAGGAGCTGTTGGAGATGAGGCCCTTCCAGTCTGCTTTTAAGGTACTGCTTATTCACATAACCAGCTGTTGTGTAAGATTATTCAGTATTTGTTTTCTGATTGCAAAAGTCATAAATATGGCATAGAGGAGGGCAAAGAGGAACTTTTTAGTTCCATCATCCAGAAATATCCACTGTTAACATTTTTGGGGCTTTTCTTCTGGTCTTTGATATGTGTTGAATTTTTGAAGCAGAATGGAAATCATGTTTTATGTATTTCTCTGTTTGTTTTTTTTTTTTTTTAACTGGAAAAAGACATGAATCTAATAATATTCAGGGAATACCAGGAGTACACACTGAGAGTAGTCATTCTCTTTACCCGCCCCTCATTCTAAGGGCAAAGCTTCACTTGCACAGATTCTCTGTACGTGAGTGTAACCTGCCTTGTAACCTGCATTTCTTCCCATGTCATTCTTCCAAAATACTTTTTTTTCTTCCGTATGGTGTGGATGCCCCATAGTGTATCTACTGAATCCATTTGATCTCTAAGAAACATGGTCTCAGCCCCTATCGAGGACCGGGCACCTCGCAGATGCCGAGATGTCCTAGACACAACCCCTAGCTGCAAGGAACTTGCTCCCTGAGGGGCAGCAGCTGATTAAATAGGCTGTGATAGCCCAGAATGTGATGGACGTCCAGGCATTTAGGAATTTCCAGGACGTCCTGGAATTTAGGAAGGGCTTTGTGGAAGTGAGTCTTCCTCAGATGAGGATGTGTGTGCCATCTAGACATTGTGGAGCGGGGTGAGATGGAGGGAGCATTCCAGAGAGGGATTAGCATGAGCAAAGGCTCAGGGTCCAGAAGCCTGCTGAGTGAGTGAGCTGCAGTTGGGTGTGGCTGGAGCACAGGGTTGCTGTAGAGGAGTGGAGGGGGTTGCAGTGGAGAGGTCAGTAGGCCCTGCAGGTCCTGCTGAGAGGCTGGCCTTGGTCCCCTGTGCTGCATGACGTGTTACACGTGCACGGCACGGGCTCTGGGCCTCACTCTGTCACCACTGTTACTGAATCTTGCCAAGCCTTCGTTTTGTCAGTGGTGCAAAGGGGTAATCAGAACTCCTGTTACCAGGATTCACTAGTACAATGAAGTGCTCAGCATAGGGCCTGCACAAAATGAACACTTCGACGTTAGCTGTTGTATGGGGGGAGGGGTCCCTAGGATCACCCCAGGTTCCATGATTTGCTGGGAGGACTCACAGGAATCATACATACATATGATATAATCGCATATCACACTCACATATAATCCTCCTCATGGCTACGATTTGAAAGGAAACAAAGCAAAATTAGCACAGAGAAGAGGTGCATGGGGTGACGTCCAGGGGAAAGCAGGTATGAGCTCCCAGAGTCCTCACCCAGTGGAGTCTCACAGAGCACGTTTAATTCTCCCAGCAGTGAGCTGTGACAACACATGTGAAATGTCACCAACCAGGGAAGCTCGTTAGAGACTCAGTGCCCAGGGTTTTATTGGGAGCCGATCATGTAGGCACCCCCTGCCTGACACTTACCCAAATTCCAGACTCCCAGAAGGAAGCAGGTGTTCAGCATAAACTACATTATTTGTTCAAACGTCAGGAACGGTGTCTACTCTTACCAGTCAGTGGTGGAGGCCTGCCAGAAGTCCAAGTTCGCAGGTGCCAGCCAAGGACAGCCTTGTAAGCAGTCAGGCCTGCGGTTTAACTCTTTTCTGCACAGCTGTTGTTACTGTTAAGCCCACCAGACTGTGAGGGAGTCCAAGCAGGGGAATCGTTTCATTCAGTTTGAATATTAGGAAGCTATTTTTGACTGTTGTGGAAAATGGGGTATCAGGAGAAATACCGGAAGCAGGAGGCCAGTTAGGAGGCAGCTCAGAGGCTTTAGGATTGAGTCCTCCTACCAGTTTGCAGTGTCTCCTGTGATCTGACCTTGAATTACTCCAGCATTACCTCTCATCACTCCCCCTTCCACCCTGTACTTTGTTCCCCAGTATGCCATGTTTTCTCGCCTCAGGGTGTTTGCACCTGCTGGTTCCCTTTGGAATACCCTTCCCAGCTCAATACTCATGTCTCTCATGGCTGGCTTGGATGTCACATCTGCCAGAAGCCTTCCCTGTCCTTAACCTGTATTCCTTACTAGACCCACCTCTATTAGGGAAGGATGGACTGTTTTGTGAATTGTTGTTCCCCAGGTCTTGGCTCAATGTCTCTGGGTAGCTATGCAGGATATAAGCAGTAGGCATTGGGAGAGGACAGGAGGGAGCTCATGTGGCAGAAATTAAGGGAGTGAAGTTGTGAGAACTGAGTAACAGGTTGGATATGGGGAGAGAAGTGTGGGACCCAAGACAATTCCCGAGTCCTAGGTTGGGCAACTGGTGGGACAAATATGACATTCCCTGGACTAGGAAATGGGAGAGGAAGAGCGGGCTTGAGGGTGGAGAATGAGTTCCACTTCTGGGGTGGGTTGAGTTGGGTTTCCAGTGGGATGCCCAGGAAGCGGTGACTCCTAGCCAGCTGCCGAGTGCTCCAGAGAAAGGCAGAAGGGTGGACTCGGATCCCCTAGCATAACTGTGTTATTAGTGGGCACTGTTTGGAGGATAGGTGATGTCCATTAGGCCTTACATAACAGCAGCATTTAAGGGCCTTTGGGAGGGTGGGGGTGCCCATGAAGGAGGCTGAGAAAGAGGTGGTGGGAGAGGCAGGAGGAGGGCTAGACTGGGGGGTGGGGGTGGGGGTGACGGTACAGAAGGAGAGCACAGGTATGCGCTGGCGGGCTTGACTTGTGATGACATAACTAGCGCGTCCTGTTATCAAATGTTTAAGATCTATTTCTTGATCATCGCAAAAGCCTTTCCCGTGAATTACTTTGTGAATATTAGCTGTAGGAATGCTGCCAGATTGCTCTTCCCAGCTCTCTTTTAGCTGGTTCATCCTCGTGGGGCACAGCCTCAGCTTCCGTCCCTTCCACCTTCGCTGCTCCTTTTCAGCTGCGGATGTGGTAAGTGTTGTGTCAGGCCAGAATTAACCCCTGATACTCAGCATTTAGGTTATGTATTCAGTGGCTCAAACGAAAACAGTTTAAGACCCTGAGATGTGTACATGTACATTCTTTAAGTTTCTGTTGGCTTCTTATTTAAACAGCAAAAGATTTTAATATTCAATTATAATAGTGTTTTAAAAGTGAAATGAAGAATAAACTCAATATAAGCTCAAAAAAACCCCAGCAAAACATTTAAAAACATTACTAAAATCTCAGACAATTTAAACAAACCAAAATGAGGATAGAAAAAACCAAAACACTTGTGGTTCAGCCACTGTGAGTTATATATATACTTTTGATTCATTTTCTTCTCTTGCATTTGGTTTTAATAAACTAAAAAAAAAGAAAGACTGTTGATGGCTTGTTTTGTGACCTGTTTTCCTGTTTTGTTTGTTTGTTTTTTTTACTTTTCATATTATTGTCTTTCTGTGCCAGTAGGTACATGTCCACGTCATCTTTCTATGGCTGTATAGTGTTCCATTGTTGTAGTCCATGTATCTTACTGCTTTTTCAGTGCTAATGATGCTAGCTACCATTTATTGACTATTTAGTCTGTGCCAGGAGTATCCCACTGCCTTACACTCATTCTGTCTGGCTCTAGCCAGAGCTTAAGGGCTCTTGTTACCCTAATTTATTGACAGTCCCTTCTTACAAGTCCCTCCCACATCAGCCCAGTCAGTCTCCTGACTTTTGTGTTTCTGTTTCTTCCTCTTCCATCTGTGCATGCTGAGTCCACTTTATGTCGCCTGCCTGTTACTTCGGAAAGTTCTGAAACCACCACTCCAACCTGGAGCTCCTGTGGTTGGGGGAGGGAGGTAGGAGGGAGGTGGGAAAGCAGGTGGCGACTCTGGGAAACAGGAAGCCTGGTTTGAGCTACAGAGGATGTTCCCCGCTCTGGTCAGGTCAGCGGGGTTGAGGGGCTCCCCTGGGGCTCCTGACCACGGGATTGCTCCAATAATAAGCAATGGAAACAGCACTGGCAACGTCCTGGACAACACCCCAGGCCCTTCTCTCTGCTCTCTGCTCCTGAGGCTCATTGGTCACCATAGCGAGACCCACCTCGTATCAGCCCCTGCTTCTCGCTGCTCACAGAGTGGGCGTCAGGATGGGAAGGCCTTTCCTCCAGGTGGAGTGCCTGCTCTGCTTCCTCTCTCCATCTGGCAGCTTGTGGTCGACAGCGTTGGAACAGGAGGGGGCCAGCTGGGCCCTCTCTGGCCCATAGTGGCAGGTGGGTGTTCACGAAAGAGCCGGCAGCTGTTGATTCTGTGAGGTCGAGTCTGGTGTGCTCTGCATTCTGTGTGCTCTCTTGGAGAGTCTGCAGCATCTCAGCTCAGCTGTATTTGGAGGGTGCAGACAGTTATGCACCAGGGCCCTCCCGCGTGTGTATTTCTGGGGATACCACGTAGGGAGGGGGCTGCGGCTGGGTCTGCTGAACGGTCACTCCTCGAGCCCTGAGGGGGAGATGGCCCTCTGCTGAGTGCTCTTTGTGTTTCAGGTTCAGCTTGCTTCCAACCCCGTGCTGGACACCTGGTATGGTGCTCGGGACTGGGCCTTGGACCACCTGGACGATGATGAAGTCTGGATCACCAGGAAAGAGTATGAAGAGAAGGGAGGAGAGTACCTCAAGGAGCACTGTGCATCCAACATCTACGTCCCCATCCGCCTGCCCAAGCAGGCCTCACGCTTCTCAGACGCGCAGGCCCCTGGCAGAGGCTCGGGGGCCAGCGGAGGCAGTGCTGGTGAGCAAGCCTAGTGGGCGCCCTCTGGGACCCGGGACCGCGGTGGCCAGTGTGACAGACGGATGCTGTGCTAGCTGGGTGCGGCCTGAGCCTGCTGGCGGCGCTGGGCTGCAGGGTGGATTTCTCCTGGGGAGAACAGTTAAGGGACACTGGAAATTACCCTTTTGAACTGCATTCACTTGGGGGCTCCTGCAGTGAAGAGACTTTAAGTGACTTTCTGGTCTTTGCTGAACCATGGACGAGCTGTGGCATCAGCTTCCCGCAGCAGTAAATGAAGATGGAATGGAGGACGGGGATGTACAAAACGTTAAGGGTTTATTTCTTCATTTAAAAAATCCTTCAAAATTTATATTGTCCGTGTAGATATTTTTCTGACTTTACTCAGAAATTGTGTGAATGCCCAGCAGGTGGAGGCCTTTCACATGTGTATAAAGAAAAGGTAGAGTGTACTTTATACACACTTTATACATGTGTATAAAGTAAAGATAACAAAAGTAATCACCCACGAGATCTCAGGAGCTGGAAATGTTTTCCTCCTATTATTTCCTCTTAAAATAAGTAAAAAGGGCCCAAAAGGGGGAACCAAACTGCATGGAGTTTCTCCATCAGGGACCTCCTTTGGGCCCACTTCTGAATGGGCAGAAATGAGGCCTTAGCCTAATTTTTGTTCATACTTTCTGTGCTGGAAACTTTTGCACCGTATGAGGCCTTCCTGCAGATTTTTCTTTCTATGCCCACAAGTTTGTTGGCTGCTTAACTTTCTCAACCTTTCAGAAGAAAGAGAGTCTGGAAAAGTTGAATCCTGTAGCTGCCTCAGTTTTGCCATAACCTTACATTCCCTGTACCCTTGCAGCTTCATCTTCAATGGCCAAATGTCCCCTCTCTTTTATAGAGGTTGCTCGGTGTGAACTTTAACTCTGCAACATCTCTGGTAGTTGAGCCCAGAGGCCCCTGAGACGCTAGTGTTCTGTCACAGAATCTATCCACTTAAATCCCAGGGAGCCTCTAGCCCATCCCTCTCATGAGGCTGCCTCAGAACCCGTTGGCTCGTGCAGCTTACCAGGGGCGATCGCCTGGATCCGCAGCCCTCAGGGCTCAGGAACTCAAGATCTGGAGCAGACAGCGGTGATGGTGGAGACAGAAGAAGACTTGGGCCGACCCAGGGCCTCCCAGAGCCCGAGGACTGAGGAGATGGTGATAAGCATGAGCTGTGAAGAAAGGATAGTTGCCAAGAAGGTGAGGGAGGTTTTCATATCCTGTTCCCGGGAAGAAGGACGCCAACTGCTAGTAGGCCTGGGGGTCTCTCTCCCATAGTCAGCGGTTTCAACAGCCTGAGCGACAGTGGTGAGCTCAGCACGGCCATGGAGGCTGAGCCCTGCTGGGGAGACCCCGGGTGGGCAGGTAAACCCAGACATAGTTACGTAGCTGGGCCTGCTCAGGGTTTCCGTAGACCGGAACAGAGGAGATGTGGGGCTGGGCAGGCTGAGGGGCTGAGCCTTGGGCTCTCTAGTTTCATCCCTCGCCCCTCACATTAAGCCTGCCATGACCTTCCACAGCCGCCTTAGGGGTTATGGTGGCTCTCCCTCAGGGAGGCTGTTCCTCCCTCCCTTGCACAGACCCCTTGCAGAGCACTCACCATGTGCCTTGGGCTTTGTCTCTCCCCCAGGATGGTCTCCTCTAAACTAAAGTGTTCCCAAGAGCAGGAAGTACTCCGTTCAGTGTGGAGTATCCACAGTGGATTTTTAATGGACGGCTAGATCTGTGACCAGAGAATATTTGAGGGTAGTCTGTCCACTCTGTTGAGAGGAACAGATCGAGAGTCCACACTGAGGACTTCCTCTCAGCCATACTGAGGCATCTGATATTCCCCTCTGACCCTGCCGTGGTTTTTTTCCTGGAGAGGTGGGCATGACTGCAGCTGAATGTTCTAGGGGTGGCTGTGAAGAAACAGACTCCTATAGCCCAGCTTAGGGCTCTTGTGCTCTTGTGGCAGGAGGAGATAGCCTGGGGAAGGGACTGCCTGGGTCTCTAGGACCCCCCAGCTCTGGATTTGAGTTAGGGCAGCTCTCAAGGTTGGGTGGCCACAAAGAGTGACGGGGGCCCCCCGTCTCTGGGTGCCCCGGCTGCTGCCTGCTTACGCTGCCGCTGCCTCCTCATGGCAACTCTGGAAATAAGCAGTTTTGTCAAAGGAACCAACAAAGAATGTAAAAAGAGAGTGAAGCAAGAGTGCAGGAAGTGTTCAAAGATGTGCAGACGAGGCTAACCCAAGAAACGGAGAAACCAGATTCATACAAATATAATACGCAAAGATCATTTTATGCCTACCTAAGGGACTAAGTGAATAAAGTGACATCTATCATTATAATAAGAATTTTGCCATTAAATCGTTGCAAGAAAATTAGAAAATGCTAGGATGCCAGAGGATTCAAAGCTGTAAGCAGAGATCCTGGCTGTGTACGAAGTACATTCTCCTTTCTTCCCGGGCCCCTGGTCCTGGAGAGGCACCCCTTCTGGGGATGAGGGAGGCCCCCAGGTTGTCTGAGGTGGTATAGAGGGAAGCATGGAAGGGGCTGGCACCTGGAGACTTATTACAGCAACAGAGCATCATTTCCCAGCCTCCCGTGCGGTTGTTCTCGTGGCCGTCTGAGTTCTGGCTGGTGGAATATGGGCAGAAGGACACCCATCATTTCCAGGGCTGGCTTCTATAAACCTCTCTTTCCTCCTTCCCCGATCACCGGCTGAATGGGGCGCCATCTAAGGCTCATGAGGAGTGCAGAGCCACTAAGTGGAGGAAACCAGGTCCCTAAGTGACTACCTGGAACAGAGGCTCTATAAATTCCTCCCCCTGTGAGGAAGTAAACTCTCACTGTGTTAAGCTGCAGAGCTCTTAGGCCTTATCTGTTATAGCAACTAGCATTTTTCCAACGAAAATTTTAGGTTACAAATAAAAATGTCATTAACTCTGTATTAAACAGGGATTTGTTAGGAAAAATAAAAAATAGTATGAAATAAGGAGAATAGCATGATAGTTATTCCTTTATTTAGGAAATGGGAATGATCATTTCTTTTACCCTGTAGGAGGATTAAATGAGATAATGAAATCACCTAAGGATTTCCACCAACATAGCAGACTTCTGATCTAAAAGAGCCCCTGCCCCCAACCTGCTACAAAGTTAGGCAATAACTAAACAAAAAGTTGTGATGCTGAGCCTGACAGAGAAAATCATAGCGATCATAGAAAATCATAGAAATCAGAAATGAATACAAAAAAAATCAAGGCCAGAGTGGTAACCACAAGTAGGCACTGAGGCAGACCGAGATGAGCCCTAGGGATGGACAGGGACTGCTAAGCCCCAGGAAATCCCTCAGGTAGACTGACCTGCTCCCTGCTTTCCCTTTCTGTTCCCTTCTTTCCATGACGTCCTCTCCTTTATTCTCCCTGTTCTGCTTATGTCTGAGCAGCCACCAAGACCCAAGCACTCTTCCTTCTGCCCCTTGCCCATCAGGGTTCCTCTTCCTTTCCTAGGCCCAGGGAGCCCTGTGGAATCCAGTTATCCCAGGGGCTCAGGAGGCATTTCCCATAGCACACATTTTCACTGACCAAAATCATCATGAGGTCAAGAGGAGTCTGTGCTATAGGGAAATTCAAGGTGATGCAGTGGGTTGAATTGTGTCCCCCCAAAATGACATGTCCATGTCGTAACCCAGTGTCTGCTTATTTGGAAATAGGCTCTTTGCAGTTGGAATTAAGGACCTGGACATGAGATCAGCCTGGATTTAGGGTGGGCCCTCAAGCCAGTGACTGATGTCCTTATAAAAGAAATGACACTGGGAGGAAGGCCATGTGAAGACAGAGGCAGAGACTGGAGGAGGGCAGCCACAAACCAGGAACACCAGGAGCCACCAGAAGCTGGAAGAGGCCAGGAAGGATTCTCCCCTAGAGCCGTCATAGGGAATATGGCCTGATGACACCTTGATTTGGTATCCAGAACTGTGAGAGAATAAATTTCTGTTGCGTTAGGTACCATGTTTGTGGTCATTTGTTACAGACACCGATGTCCAGGTTAAATCTGGGAAGGTTTCTGGGTATGGGTGGGAAGCTTTTAAGCCATAAAGAAGCAGATAACTTGCCCACAAGATGGAGGAGTCCTAGCAAATAGCAGGACCTAGATAACAAAGGCCTATCCCCAGATAAGGAGTAGAGAGGAGGCAATGAAGGAGTAGAGAGGAGGGGTTTGGAAAGTGCTCAGGACCAGAGCTGAGGGTCCTGGAGAGGCGCCCCTTCTGGGGATGAGGGAGGCCCCCAGGTTGTCTGAGGTGGTATAGGGGGAAGCGTGGAAGGGGCTGGCACCTGGAGACTTATTACAGCAACAGAGGATCAGAGGAAGCTTGACACGCAAAGGTGCTAAATACTGGAGAATCTGCCTTGCTGCAGCACCAGGAGGGGGCGCCCCTGAGAGACGTGGAGACCCACCGAACCCCTCTCCCTGCCCTGTTCCTCACCCATATCCTCCTGCTAATAGTTGCTCAGGTAAATCTAACATGCCCAAATATGAACATTAATAAACCAGCACCCTAATGGGGATACTGCAAGAAAAAAACAAAACCAGAAAATTCAAAGTCGAACTTGTGAGCAGAAAACACACGGGAAAAAAAGCCAGAAGGAACTTGTCATGCAGCATTCCAACAGGAATTAAAATAATTAGACAAGCAAATGCAGCTGTGAGGACATCGCGAAACAAATGAAAAGCTTTAAGTAGAAAGGACCAAGAGGATGTGAAATGGAAACTGACGGGACCCAGGTAGGAACTGAATGTAAAAGAAAAATGATCTCGGAAACCTAAATCCAAGATGCACAAAGGAGATATATTCGACTAGAAAGAAAAAAAGGAAAAACCAAATGAAAATAAGAGAAAGTTACAGATAAGGAAAAGAGGCAAAGGAAATCTAATCAAGTTGAATGTAGTTGAAGAAAATTCGACATACTGAATTTTATATTGTAAAGGAAGAAGAAAGACAATGGAACAAAAATTCATATTAAAAATGGTAATTCAGTAATACTTTCCCCCAAAGAGGAAATGCTCGAATACAAGTACCGTAAAGACACGCTTTGTGTGAGCTTGGGAAGAAGGACTCAGAAGAGTAAACTCTGAGAAAATCCTAGGTAAATAAATCCTCTGGGCCTCTAGGCAGGAAGACACAATGGCTTGCACTGTCAAGAAAAATTAGATGTCATCGGACTTTCTAACAGCACTCTGTGTAATTTAATACTAGAAAGTTGACCAAAGAAATTGAATAATGAAAAAACAAAAATGGTAAAATAAGTTTATGTGGGAAAAAAAAAAATTTAAGGAATACTAGAAAACCTGCTAGAAAAAGACCAACAACAATTTAAAACTACTAGAAAGAATACACGAAATAATAAGGAAATAATTATTAAAATAAAAATCATAATTACTTTGTACAATTCTTTGCAAATACATTTGAAAAATATGGACAAAAATCGTCATTTTTTTAGGAAAATGGAATTCACCAGAACTGCCCCTAAGAGGGATATATAAAGTCCAAATAGACCCATTTCCGTACAGAAACTAAAGACCATTGTCACAGAGCTGCCCCCTCAAAAAAACTCCAGGTCCAGTTAAGTTCACAGAATTCTATTAGCCTTTAAAGACTGGATACTTCCAATGTCCCTTAAACTTTTTCAGAGCGCAAAAAACGAAAGAAATCCTCTAAACTATTTTTATGCATGACTGCTATAAAAATCTGGTAGATTGCACACACACAAAATTATAGATAGCCCAATCTTACCTAAAATATCAATGAAGTAAACACAAGTCAATTATTTACAAACAGAATCCACTAGGGGCGCCTGGGTGGCTCAGTCTGTTGGAAGGCTGCCTTCTGCTCAGGTCATGATCTCAGGATCCTGGGATAGTGCCCCACTTTGGGTTCCCTGCTCGGCAGGGAGTCTGCTTCTCCCTCTGCCCCTTCTCCTACTCATGCTCTATCTCTCTCTCTCTCTCAAATAAAATCTTTATTTTTTTTGGATTTTATTTATTTGAGAGAGAGAGCATGAGCTGGGGAGAGGGGCAGAGAGAGGACAAGGAGACTCCACACTGAGCAGGGAGCCTGACCTGGGGCTCGATCCCAGGACCCTGGGGTCATGACCTGAGCCGAAGGCAGATGTTTGACTGAGCCATCCAGACGCCCAATAAATAAAATCATAAAAAAGAAGAAGAAGAAGAAACCACCAGCACATGAAAAGATAATACATGGTGACCAAATGGATTTCATTCCAGGAATGCAAGTGTAGCCACCAAATACCAAAAATCTCAGAGCCTTAACGCACGGTTTATTTCTTATGGTGCGTGTCCAGTGATTGTCATCGTGTGTGTGGTTTGGGAGGGGCTGCACTGTCCCACATAATCGCTGCACACCATCTTAGGAGTCTGCCATCTCAACGAAAGGAAGGAACAGGAATATGGAGAGTCAAGTCCTGGCTCCGAAATGCTTCTCCCCAGAAGTGACGCACAGCATACGTACTCAGATTTCATTGGCCAAAGAAAATAAGTTAGCTGTGTGTGATCTCTTAGCATTCCATTTTACCCCCTCTGCCTAGTTATGCCTCTCTCTTTTTTTTTTTGTGATTGCTCTAGAAATCACAATATGCATCCTTCATTTATTGTAATATAGATTAAGTCTATAATACTTCACGTACAATGTAAGAATGTTGCCACATACAACTCCATTTTTAACTTTGGGGATTTGCTCTTGGTATCATGTGCTTTACTATTACTTATAAATCCCATAACATATTTTTAATTTTTTAAATTTACTCAGTAGTCTTTTGGAGAAATCTAAAAAGATGGTCTTTTACCTGCACATTGACTCTTTCCGGTCAAGAAAGCGGGGATAGGAGGACATTTTCTTGGCATTAGAGCTTGCACATTCTTCTTAGGAATGCTAACAGGATGGGGGAGAGGCTTCCCTCTGGCTGGTGCCTAAGGAAACAACCTTTTGGAAACCTCCCAGAGGAAATGCAGTGGGATTCTCCCTGCAGCCATTCTTCAACCTGGACAACAAGAATTGTCTGGAAGGCGAATTCACCTGCTTGGCTCTTTCCCTCCTGCGTCACATTTTGATGACCACCGGGCAGGGACTGGGCTGTATCAGATCTTGCCCGCCCTTTCCCGGCCTGGGCAACCATCTGGGGATTGCCTGGGAATCAAGTTGATGGACATTCCTCAGTCTAGACAAACTTCTGGAAACTCTTTAACTTTAGTTGTGGGAGGAGAAGTTGGCCTGCTGATCATTCCCCAGCTTGGGACACCGGCAGTACTTTGGACTGGGTTTCGTATAAGTATTGTTAAATCTAGAAGGCTTTATAATTGGGCCAGCAATATCCATGCCCTGGTCACTATTCATAATAAAGGACATTCCAAGAGTATCAGCTAAGGAAGTCCTTTTGTTGGTAGCGATTCTGTCAGCCTTTGTCATTGGCATGCCTTCGGCCACTGTGAGGAGGTACACTCGATGGCTAAGTACACAAATAAGAATCTGAATAAAACTGACCAGAATATGTACAAAGCCCCCCAAGGAGGAGGAAGAGCTTCTGCTTGACAGCTTTTCCCACATTCTGGGTCTGACAATAGGGAAGCTCTTATAAGATTATTGTGGTCCACTGGGAAATTTGGGGACCTGCCAACTACACCCAGTGAATCCTGGCATCCCCTCTGTGTGTGCCGAGCCATGGGTTCTGGAAACAGGATGAGCAGACAGACCCTTTGGTGCCTCAAAGTTGTGCCCCAACTTTGAGGGTGCACCAAAGAAGACATGAATGCAAGACATCCCACGGTTTCTTTTCTGAATTCGGAGCCGATTTTGGAGAAGGACCAAAGTCAAAAGAGCTTCCAGAGGAGCCTGCTTGGGTGAAGAAGATAAGAGCCGGGCGGGTAGCTGGGGAAGGTGAGGTACCTCGGCCTCGGCCCCTTGTGAGCTCCGGGAGCAGAATCGGAAAAGTTCTCAGTGCTCTTTTCCTTTCCACATTCTGAGTTGGCGTTCCCAGGCCTTCTCTTTTCACTCGCTGCTGTCTAATGGGATTCCGGGGCTTGGCCTTGAGCATGGAGAGCCTCCTTATTGACAACTTCTAGTGAAGAGAATCTCAGAAAGAAAAGAAGGAGGTGTTCCCTCTTCCCCTGAAAGTTTGGAAAAGCAGACACTCTCCTGAGAACAGCAGAAAGCCATTTCCAAGAGCCTATTCGGAGAAAATGTGGGCCTCTCCTCAGGCTCTGATTTGGGCTGCAAATGTTATTTGTAACAAAGGACTCTTTAAAGTCATCTGGGTTTCAGAAAAATAATCATATGCTGTAAAAAAAAAAATCTTTAAAATTAAAAAAAAATAGGTAGCTTTGCTTAATTATATATCGCCCAAATAATAACATTTCATTTGACATTTCTGTTTTAAAAATGAAGGTACAACTCTTTGTCCGTTGTCTGTATTGACCAGAGGAGCTTTGCAATTTCCCTCTTCTTCTTTTTCCTATGACTGACTTTAAATGAACAATACATAATACAATGTACAAATACTGTATATTTGGCTTTGGAATTGTATATATGTTATATGCAATTATAAAACAAGATTTTATTCAAAATAAGAACACAGTCCTTAAAAATCAAAGGCAGAGTGAAACAAGTGAACCTAATAATCAGGTTGGTAGCTTACCTACACAGAGAGGTCTTATTTTAAGTCTTGAACGAGGTGACTTTAATTAGGTGATTTTATTTTAAGTGACTTTTTTCACAGTAGTGAGGAAAAAACCAGTAATTGAATGTACATCTTTAGTGGGATATAGTCTAAGAACAAAAAAGGACTGTAAAGAAATCTTGCTGTTTTCAGCAATTATGTTGTTAGTAATGGCATTGGTATGGCTATTCTGAATTATTACGTTATTATGTTAAGGTTGC